AGACACATAAAGATAGACAGAGATTTATACTGGCTTTCAAGCAGCTGGCGATGAAACAGACAGCAGCCGCATAAACGAGTGAAAGAAGTAGGTCAGAGGCAAGAGAGAGTGTGTCTGGAGAGACTCTGAGCTGGTGAGGAGAGGAGAATAGAAAATCATAGGGATGGGTTTCATGCCCTCTTTTGTTTTCATCTCCATTTTCATCTCGGGTCAGGAGGAGACGGTGTGATGATGCCACGGGAGGCAAACAGAGACCAGCTGGCACCTGAAGTGTTGTTGAGTGACATTGATTGACAGAAGCCTCTACTAATTATGGGAAACACCAGACTCTGTGCTATTCATGCTGTGAGATGTGACAGGACTATGCAACTTGATGTACATCGTGAACGTTTGTTCTTTCAGACTTTCTAACACGCACACACACACGCACACACACACACACACACACACATAAAAGCATGCACACATATTATAATTTAGAACTTTGAATTGTATGTTTGATTTCCAAAGAAATTGCGCTATAACTGGATATTATTTAAAAATGTTTAATATCAAAAAAAAAAAAAAATCTTAGCACAATCTAGTGTTATTGTTATAGTGGCATTTTATAATGTTTGTCAAGATAAAAACTAAAATTATAGAATAGAATATTTAAAAATATATATTTTAGTTTTGTTTTAGTTTTTCCCATTTATGTTTTTAATTGAATGAATCGAATTTCAATTTAACATAATTTTTACTTTAGTTTTCATTGAAGGTTTTAAATTCATAATGAAGTATTTTAGTTATGGCATTCAATGAAGGGCAAAATAAATGAGTAGAAACAATGTGAAAAATACAATTTTACATGACTTCTTCAGGAAAAAAAAATAATGAACTCTTACGCTGGTGTACAGCATTCGATATTTAACAGTAGAGTAAATACCGTTCTGCTGTTTTGAGCTCAGAGATCATGACACAAAGGATCAAGCTAGATGTGCAAATGTAGCTCATTAAAAGTAACAGGCTAATCTCCATCTAATGATCACCTCCACATCTGTCAGCAATAGCTCGCGTTTGGAAACGCCACCTGCTTCAAAGACCTGCCCAATCTGAACGGCAACCACCTGATAAGCACAAGCCTTTTCCCATTTCGCTCCATTTCCTTTCAGGCATTTTGCCCATTTTATCTTTGAGATCACAAAATGGGCACAGAATGAATTGTTGAACAATAAGCAGATTTATCAGTAATGAACATGAACTAGATTAAAGGTTGAATCAGCAGAGAATCATTTCCTGCTCTTCCAAATGAACAGATTTTGAGAGATAGTGACACAATGACTCAATCCAGCTAATAACCTAGAGGGAACAAATGAAAATAAGAGTCAGTTTTTGCACAGTATTTGCCTACCCTCACTCATATGTGTTCAGGGTCAATGACAGCGCTGCTACACCAGAAGTATCAGAGTGTGCTTGTTGTGCATTGTCAGCTGCCTGGTTGTAGTTATTGAAATACAAAACAGCACATCCCTGAAAAGGAAAATGATATATCTGACAACATTAACCATTTCTTGGTGGGTTGTTCTCAAAAGTGTTTTATTTTTCAACCTTGAATTTTGGTTTTAGATCAGTTGTCTCCTAATAAAGTGCGTAAAAATGCTTTATTTTATATCTCAATTGAAGAAATGGTTGGAGCACCAGTAAACTTTTCAAAAGATTTTATTTATTTTAATTTTTTTTGGATGGTGTCAATATAAATGTAGTTTCATTTATTTATATTAGTTTAGATTATATTGTTTAATATTTTATATATTGTTACATCATTCTATATATTGTATCGTATTGCTAATGCTGAACTTGAAAAGCAAATAAATGAATAATTATAAATGACATTACAGTGGCGTACCATATGAAGGGGACAAGGGCTTTTTCAGGCACATGACTATTTATAACTTTTTTTAAAAGAGCACAAAAATATAGTCAAACAAGTTCATGTTATTGTAATACAAATATAGCCTATAAGTAATAAGATAATGCCTTTTGTTTCTCCACTTTCTTTGAAATCTTCTAAAAAGTCCACAGACATGTTGGTCACCACATTAAATGCTGATATTTAATGTACTACATGCAAAAGTGTTCATTTGTCACATCAAAATATTTCCTTTTCTTTCTGTCTCTCTCTATAGTTGACTCCGGCGCAGCCCTGTCGCGCCCACAGCGCCCCCTCTCGGCCCGGGCGGCCCACCATGCCCCGTCCATGAAGGGCTACCAGGTGAGTCGCAGTCTGTCTCAACACTCCTCTGGGCCTTGCTACTGCATGCCTGAGGATGGTGACACTGCGCGGGACTACATGCACCACCCCGACCACTACCAGGGGCACAATGACCACCCCTACTACCCGCCTGGTGGGCCCCCTGAAACCCTGGCCATGGTACCATCCGGCGGAGGCACCTTCCCTCGCTCACACCCCAGTCAGCCGCAGCCCTACGACTCCACGTGTGAAGAGTGTTTATCCTCGGGAGTGCATGGCCACGGGCATAAGATGCACCGTATCCCGCCCAACCTTCTGGATCAGTTCGAGAAACAGTCGCCCTTCCACCCCGACGGCTTCCACACCCTGCAGTACCAACGCGCAGCCAGCGGGGAGCAACGCAGCGAGAGCCCGAGTCGCATACGGCATCTGGGTGAACTCGTTCAGCGTCTCTTCGCCAAGTCTCATTCTCTTAGAGACACCATCTAAACGAGAGTTTAACGGCACCCGTGGGGGAGAGTATCGGGAAAGGGAAAGGGGGCACCGCAGCGGTGGAGAGGAAAGCGGTGGACATCATTATTCGGGAACACACCAGTC